TATTTGTAAAAAATGTTTTGATTCATGTAAAATTTTGCTTCGACTTCACAATTGTATACCACTTTGTGTTGGTCTTTCACATTAAATTCGAGTGAAATATATTTATGTTTGTGGTTGTAATGTGACAAAATATGGAAAAGTTCAAGGGGTATGAATACTTTTGCAAACCACTGTATCTTGAATTTGGAGGAAAAAATATCATTTTATTTATCACTAAAAAGAGTTTAATGAATGCGCATACGAAACTAGTGGGTTTGGTACCTTAAAAAAGGTTAAGAACCACTGGTCTAGATGTTTCCTTGGATCATTGTTGTGGATGAGAATTGTTTCTTTTTTGTTGAGTTAAAATAATCTTCTATATCAGAGGAACCATGTTGTTTAAAAACTGTCACCACTACCAGTGAGGTGTTCCATCTGTTAGTTAGTCTTACTTCAGATAACTAGTTGTCATTAATATCACAGCTCCTATAAATTTGTCCATTTAAAGGTCAACATATTTCTATAATAAAACTGAGATATTTTTCTGTTAATATTTTAACATTCTCCAAACATCAAAACATCTTTAAATTTACTGTAAAGGTTTTGTAAGTAGTGCAGTTTTTAAATGGAGCAGCTGTGTGAATCTGAATGCATCTATAGATGGTTCTCAATGACGTCCTCATCCGGGACTTTTTTACCCTCCGCACCCTGTTCGTGGGCTAGCATTTAGCTTGTAGCGATAAAACCAGTATGGGAGAACCACAAAAGCAAAGGAGAAAAAATGTAAAAAGGCCACTGAACGACGCAGACAAGCATGACCAGGATAATAATACTTTGTATTTAAAACATGCCTTTCAGGACACCCATGGATCTACTGAGTAATAAAAGTAGCGATCCTTATGAGCTGCTGAAGTCTGGAGAGCCGACACAGAGGCTGTGTTGACATGACTCTGTGTGACTTTCTCTGATATTAGTACTAACTGTATCTTACATACTCCAAATGGGTACATACTGCATAATAAGGAGCTTTTTGTGTTTATAATCTGATACTGTCAGTGTATCCTACGTGTGCRTTTATAAGGGTAGATTGCATAATGTTCAAAACACTTTTATGTTCATAGTGCGCAATCTTTTTATTTTTATTTTTAAAAGTTAATTAACGTACTCCGCCCCTCGCACTGTGACTGCTGGATATGGGCACCAGTGACCCATGCGACCCTGAAAGGAATAAGCGTGTAAAGAAAATGGATGGATGGATGGATGGATGGATAATTAACGT